TAACTTTTTTTGTTCTATTATTAATAATGTTGTAATAATTATAAAGAAATACTCCATAGTTAATAATAATTAAATATTAATAATATAATTTTAAATAAAAATAGAATAAACATAAGTTGTTAATAAAAATTCTACATAATGGTTAACACAATTATATATATATATATATATATATATATATATATATATATATATATATATATATATATAGGGTCTGGTTCTGGTGCGGCCTCCTCCCATGTGGATGTGAGGACATATCGCGATTGTTGAATGAGCTCAGATAAATAGTTGAAAATCAATAAAAATGGAAAAAAAAATATGGTGACATTTTGATAATTTCAATGATATGCTGGTGCATTTGAATATGTTTGGTGGTACTTTGAGTCCAATGCACCATCAAGTATCCTGTGTGCACCACAAACCAGCCCTTAGCCCCTTAGTCCCTTAATGGCTTAATGCACCACTCAAGGGGGGTGTCAATAGAGGCGTGCAAACTTTGATAAAAATTCAATTTACCGACCGAATCAAAGAATTACAATTAATCATTTTTTAACCGAAATATTTCGGTTCGGTTAATGGTTAAATGTTTTATAGAATTTCAGTTAACGGTTAATTCGATTCAAAAATATCAGTTAACCAAATTAACTGCTTAACCAATATTCTCTCCCTCTCTCGCTCTTTCTTTCTCTCTCTCTCTCATATATATATATATATATATATATATATATATATATATATATATATACTATTTTCAATTTTCAAATATGAAAAACTTTGCAAATAAGCATGTTTTATGTTTTTTTTTTATTCTCTAATGTTTTAAAAATTGAAAAAAAAATCTCCAGTTAATAAACAGACTTTGAGAATATCACTATCACTAGGATCACACTTGTGTGAGACATGTTGGCTCAGGTCAGATCAATATGGAAATACAAAACTTATACTAAAAACTAGTTTTTACGCGCATTGCACGATTGTGATAATGCCCAATGTTTTTTTTTTAAAATAAGTACTTTATAGTATATCAAGGCAAGATTATATTAGAATTGTTCATGGATAGATAATTGAATGTTAAATTTGCGTATTTAAATAGGCAATTCTAAGTTTAAAAATGCAAGATAATATAGTCAAGATTGATTATAATTGTCAATAAAATAATTGTATAGGTTTGGTTAAAACCAAATACGGGACATAACAGAGAGCAAATAAAAATTAGGGCATAAAATATTAAATATATACTAATATTGAAGAGCTAACTGCTGATTGCCAAACAAGGACATTGCGAGATAGTTTCCCACTTTAATTTGTTGTGTGATTTGAATACTCTTTTTGTCAATAAATCTCCAAGTAGTTAATATGATTGGCTTAATTATAATTTTTTTTTAAAACAATTATTATTATTATTATTATTATTATTATTATTATTATTATTATTATTATTATTATTATTATTGTTATTATTGTTATTATTGTTATTATTGTTATTATTGTTATTATTGTTATTATTGTTATTATTGTTATTATTGTTATTATTGTTATTATTGTTATTATTGTTATTATTGTTATTATTGTTATTATTATTATTATTATTATTATTATTATTATTATTATTATTATTATTATTATTATACCCTTAGGTCATTTTACATGTTAATCTAAACAGCGCGCTTTTTTCAAATATCTTTTTCCAACCGTTGATATAATTCGATGGTCAAATTCGCTAATATAATCCACTAACGCTAACTGCTAACTGCTGATTGTCAAACAAGGACATTGCGAAGTAGTTCTCACTTCAATTTGTTGTGTGATTTGAATACTCTCTTTGTCAACAAATCCCTCAAGTAGTTAATATGATTGGCTTTATTAATTATATATATATATATATATATATATATATATATATATATATATATATATATATATATTTAATGGTATTAATAAAATACTTGAAAAATAAATATATAGCATTATTTTGTATTATAACTTTGATATTTAATTAAAAAAATAGTGCACAAAAAAGATAATAGACAATGTAGTGAATATAATCAATTGATGAATTTGAATGTTAAGAATTTTTACATTAGAGAAATATAAAGACAATATAACTAATAAAATTATTTCTCTTAATTAATTTATTGATAATGAATTGAATAATTTTTTTTAATAAAGACATTGTAGGGACAATGTATCGAATATAATTAATTGATGAATTTGAATGTAAAGAATTTTTATATTGGAGAAAAATAAATACAATATAACTAATGAAATTATTTCTCTTATTTAATTTATTGATAATGAATAATTTTTTTTTTAATAAAGACATTGTAGACACATAATTCTAAATTAAAAAAATGCATATGTATTATTTTTTGTTGTAGCTACTAAATTATTGTTTTAATTTAATAAGAGTAAAATAGAGTACTAATTATACCAACTTTGATTGGGATGAGGTTCGAACCTAAGACCTTTTTTTTATTGAAATCAATGAGTAAGTTAACGGTGAACTAACAAAAATTAACGGAAAAGATAATATTTAACAGAAAAGTTAACGAATAATCATATTCATTAAGGATAAATTAGGAAATCTTAAAGAAAAATTAAAATCTGAGGCATTCATTTGATTAAAAAAATTGACCGCCATTTTTTCTACCCATTATAGGCCTAACTCTCTTGAACACTTATTAGTGTACTAGTTTTACACGCGCATTGCGCGATTGGGATAATGCCCAGTGTTTTTATATATATATATATATAAATAAGTACTATATCAAGGCAATATTATATTGGAATTGTTCATGCATAGATAATTGAATGTTAAATTTGTGAGGCATTTCTAAGTTTACAAAATCAAGATAATATAGTCAAAATTGATTATAATTGTCAATAAAATCATTGTATAGGTATGGTTGAAACCAAATACGGGACATAAGGGAGAGCAAATAAAAATTAGGACATAAAATATTAAATACTCCATATATACTAATATTGAAGAGCTAACTGCCAAACAAGGACATTGCGAGATAGTTTTCCACTTCAATTTGTTGTGTGATTTAAATACGCTTTTTGTCAATAAATTTCCCAAGTAATTAATATGATTAGCTTAATTATTTTTTTAAAAACAATTATATATATATATATATATATATATATATATATATATATATATATATATATATATATATATATATATATATATATATATATATATATATATTTTTTTTCAAATATCTTTTCACCAACCGTTGATATAATTCGCTGGTCAAATTTGCTAATATAATCCGCTAACTGCTGATTGTCAAACAAGGACATTGCGAGGTAATTCTCACTTCAATTTGTTGTGTAATTTGAATACTCTCTTTGTCAACAAATCCCTCAAGTAGTTAATATGATTGGGTTTATTAATTATATTTTTTAAAATTTTTTTTCATGGTATTAATAAAATACTTGGTAAATAAATATATAGCATTATTTTGTATTATAACTTTGATATTTAATTAAAAAATAGTGTACAAAAAAAGATAATAGATAATGTAGTAAATATAATCAATTGATGAATTTAAATGTAAAGAATTGTTACATTGGAGAAATATAAAGACAGTATAACTAATCAAATTATTTCTCTTAATTAATTTATTGATAATGATTTTTTTTTTTAATAAAGACCTTGTAGGGACAATGTAGCGAATATAATCAATTGATGAATTTGAATGTAAAGAATTTTTATATTTGAGAAAAATAAATACTATTTTAATAATGAAATTATTTCTCTTATTTAATTTATTGATAATGAATAATTTTTTTTGAATAAAGACATTGTAGACACATAATTCTAAATTGAAAAAATGCATATGTATTATTTTTTGTTGTAGCTACTAAATTATTATTTAATTTACTAAGAGTAAAATAGAGTACTAATTATGCCAACTTTAATTGGGATGAGGTTCGAACCTAAGATCTTTCCTATTGAAATCAATGAGTAAGTTAACGGTGAACTAACTGAAATTAACGGAAAAGATAATATTTAACGGAAAAGTTAACGGATAATCATATTCATTAAGGATAAATTAGAAAATCTTAAGGAAAAATTAAAATCTGATCAATCTGAGCCATTCATTTGATTAAAAAATTTGACCGCCGTTTTTTCTACCCATTATAGGCCTAACTCTCTTGGGCTCTTATTAGTATATATATAGTAGATATATATATATATATATATATATATATATATATATATATATATATATATATATATATATATATATATATATATATAGTATTCATTAAGGATAAATTAGGAAATCTTAAGGAAAAATTAAAATCTGATCAATCTGAGGCATTATTTGATTAAAAAAATTGACCGCCATTTGATTAAAAAAATTGACCGCCATTTTTCTACCTATTATAGGTCTAACTCTCTTGGACTCTTAGTAGTATAGTATAGTATATAGTAGATAGATATATAATACGGAGTACTAATTAGGAATACGATATTTGTTACTTAAAAGTGTAATACTTTTGAGAAAAAATACAATACTTTTACATTTTGATGTAAAACTGTTACATTTTTTTCTTATAAGTAATGTTAGCAAGTGTTTGTTACTTATAAGAGAAAACATATGAATAAAAATGTAATACTTTTAAATTAAAATTTAAAAATTAAAACTTATGTATTACATTTTCTCATATAAGTAATAAAGTAATAAACACTTTATTCATGATATTAGTATCCGTGTGACAGTCTTACACAAATTTTTACCCTATCACTATAATAATTAATAAACTAAAATTGAACTTTCCTCAAATTCTTATTAAAAAAGTCATATCGTCATAAGTTTATATTACTCCGTATTACATTATTTGTTGATAGATATAGGCATATAGCATGGTTGACTTAGCAATTTCTTTAACATGAGACTATTCACATATTTTAATTTTGAGCACGTTGGGTTATAGGAGTTATAATTATCATAAGATCTTAATGCACCATATTTGACCATACATACATAAACTTGTTCACTGAGATTATCAGATATTAAAGAAATTTAATACCACAAATGATAACAAAATGTACACTTCACTTCACTGCACCTCACTTTTAGGAATATTCTCAAGTTAATTGGCAGAGAGAACTATAAGATAAAATACAAACAGAAATATATAGTCAATGAATTCCTGCAATTCCCTTCCCTTCCGAGTTTCCAGTTCTTTCTCCACTGGCATAGAGAAAAGAAGATCAGGATTTGAAGTCTAAACGCCATGGGGCGTTGGGTTCTTCATCTGAAAGTAGAAGCCGACTACCGAGCCTGTCACCAACTCTTCAAGCGGTTTTAAGCATAGTAATTCAAGCTTGCTTTCTTTTTAGCCTGTACTTGAATGATACCTTCGTTGAAGTCTTCATGGATAACCTGGCAGATATTGAGCAAAATTAAGACAAGTTCTTGCTATTCAGCTATTTGTTTAACTAAGACAACATGCCACATACTGCACATTTGTGCCTACTTTGATTAATTCCGTTCTCGAATTAATATTTTAATAATTCCAACCCAAGAAAAATGCACCATTGACAAATGAAATGTCAAATTAGAAACGTGAGTGTGTCAAAATCTCATGAAGTTTAGGGCACTTGGCAGATTGGTATGCCTAACTTCTAGGAAAGGAAACAGGCCATTAAATTCTCACATATACTTGAACTAATAACAAAAAAGATCAGTAATCTTGCTCTTACAACGGGGGTGGGCTAAAAAGCCCGCCAAAATACGGGCCATAAAATTCAAAGCCCGCCCTACCTTTTTGGCAGGGCAGGATGGGCTAAGCCCATTTTGACGGCTCTACTTACAATGCAATTCTGCATAGAATAGGGGGAAAGGTAGTAAGGATTAAGGAAATACCTCAGTAGCATCACGGCGTAGTGCCAACATCCCTGCTTCAACACAAACAGCTTTTAATTGTGCCCCATTAAAATCATCTGTTGAACGAGCCAGCTCTTCAAAGTTGACATCTGGGTTGACATTCATCTTTCTGGAGTGGATCTGAAATTTTGTGCATTTTAGTATCCAATACACAACAGGACAAGACAGAAGAGAACTTTTCCCTTTTGCGTTGGAAGGAGAAAAAGGTTGGAGCAGGGGAGGAAAGTAAGAGAAAACATTGGATCAAGGCCCTACCTGCAAGATCCTAGCCCTGGCTTCTTCAGTAGGATGAGGAAACTCAATCTTACGATCCAGACGACCAGACCTCATCAAAGCAGGATCTAAAATATCAGCTCGATTTGTTGCTGCAATGACCTGGATGGCAAGAAGCAGCAGACCAATATGATGCAGCCAAATGGAAGATAAGAAATAGTAGCATGTCCAGCTATGGATAAGGGAAGATACCTTTATTCTATCATCACTGCTAAAGCCATCAAGCTGATTAAGTAACTCCAACATAGTTCGCTGGACCTCTCGATCCCCACTAACTTCACTGCATGAGAAGAGAATAAACACAACATTAGTGAAGCTATAGCAGCACCAGATCAACATATAAAAGACATGACAAAAAAGATCAGACGTATATACCTATCAAAACGCTTTGTACCAATAGCATCAATTTCATCAATGAAAATAATGCAAGGCGATTTTTCCTTGGCAAGCAGAAAAGCATCACGAACAAGTTTTGCTCCATCTCCAATGAACATCTATATTTATAACAGAGTAAGTTGCATTGACTAGTGTAACAATGTAAATCCACAACCAATCTAACTAGTCCAAATTGTCAGAGCTTCAAACATGCCAAATTTCATACTGATACCAAGGTTGCATATATTAGAAGTTTGTTCTTGGCATGTCAAGGCACCAAAAAACCAAAAAAAAAAAAAAAATAAAATAAAAAAGTACATACAACAAGCAGGAAAAATTTAGAGATGACCCACCTAAATGTTGAAATTAAAACAAACTGCTTAATCAGTCCGCCAATTAGCAATATTTGATTGTGAAAATATAATTTAAACAGTCAGCGTTATCAAAAGGCAAAAATGTCCCATGAAAGCAGTTCCATGTCAAGTATAATTAGGTGTGGATTGGTTAGTTATTCAACCAGCTCAAGTTCAACACAAGCCTATACTTGTGTTCAAGATCAATTAGTTTACAAACTGGCTCAGGTTCAACCTATTACGCCTAGGTGTTTGTTTGTAATTGCTAGGCTTGTTTACGTTATTTATACAAATAAAAGCAGTGAGGGAATATAGTACTATTAAATTATAAACTCATGCATGTAGCATTTTAATTAATAATCAAAATATGCATGTACAGCTACAGATGTAGGTCTTAATAAAGAAAAATAATTAAATACTAAAGACTACTACTTCATTTTCTCTGGGTGCATGTCCTTCAATAGGCTTTGGTGTTAACAGCTCTATTTGCAGAAAATTAGGATCAAAATTATATTCAGAATACATCATCAATAAATTAGAAAAAAACAATCAAAATGTTCCCAAATGACACAATCCTGATCAGAAGTAGACAAAGTTACTTCAAACATGAAAATTATTATGGCAAAAATGGAAAAATATCAAAAAATACTTGTAATCAAGATTTATGCCTTTCAACCATCGGATAAAAATAGAAAAAGGAGAAGAGAGAGAGAGAGAGAGAGAGAAACAAAAACATACTAGGAAAATCTTAAAATACCTGCACAAGTTGGGGTCCTGCTAGCTTAAGAAAAGTAGCATTTGTCTGTGCAGCACAGGCACGAGCCATAAGAGTCTTCCCTGTCCCAGGAGGCCCATACAGAAGAACTCCTTTAGGAGGGCGAACTCCTAATTTTTGAAACCTCTCTTTATGTGTCATTGGCAAAACAATTGCTTCAACAAGTTCTTGGATCTGTAACAGTTACAGGCAGAATTACTTTTGGGGGTTTAACATATTAAATGCCAGCAAACAAAGTATAAAGAAAAACAAAGGCAATGCCAAGTAATAAAATCTTCAGTTCCAAGAAGAATTACTTTTGGGGGTTTAACCTATTAGATACCAGCATACCTGTTTCTCTAGGCCTCCAATATCATTATAATCTTCAGTAGGCTTCTCATCAACTTCCATAGCCTTAACCCGGGAATCAAACTCCGATGGCAAAGTGTCCAAGATCAAATAACTGTCTTTATTCACTCCAACCAAATCACCAGGCTTTAACTTATCAGGATCAACAAGACCAACCACAGGCAAGAAGATTGTCTACAAATGGCAATACATACATAAATAACTAAAGATGTATGACTCTTGTGTACAAAGATATGTAAAGAGACTATGCAACCTTACCTGACGAGTGGATGTTTTCAACACAACACATTTACCCTTTCTTTGTGAATCAAGATCAATATTTGCCCCATCTTCCTCGGCATCTTCCTCAGGGTTCATTTCTAAAATCTGGAAAAGACAAGAATCAATGAACATAAAATATAGCAACAAAATAAAAGTTTTTTAAATTGTTTTCTTAATTAGAAAATCATGTGACCATAGTAATGCATATTTTATGGTGGGGAGCTTGGTATTTGAACCTACATACCAACCAATCCCATATTGACAAAAGCCACTCCTTAAAAGGTAGGCAATAAGTATCAAGGTGATCTCTTCAAGAAACAACTACTAGAAATATAACATCTTATATGCCTATCATTGTTGGGAATGCTCACAAGTCACAAAAATCAATCAAAATAAATAAGATACACTCAATGAATTAAAACCCAGCCTTTATGCCTAAATTCAAGACTGCAATCCCTATTTCATATTAATTCCCCAAACCCGTAACACTGTAAGGACATGATAATAAAGCCCCTATTCCACCACAATCCCAAAAAAAAAAAAAAAAAAACAATAATATAAATTGAAGTTCTGAGGACGACATATCTTCTAACTCACAGAGTATGGACTCTGCAACTCTTCAAGTCAAAAACACTAAAAAATTATAAAATAGAAACATGAATTTACTATTCAAGCATCTCCAAAATTCATATCTAAACATACTACAGGTTTAAAAAATAAAAAATAAAAATTACAAAGATCCTCAGTTTACATTCACCCAGTTCCCAGCTGCAAACTCTTGACATTGCATCTCAAAATCAAAGTAATAAAATGCCAATACTCTAATATGGGAATCAAGAACATCAACTGGTCTAAAGGCCCGGCCTTTCTGAAGCTTGTTTTACAAAACCTAAAAGTTAGCAGCTACGAAAGCCCTAATTTAATTTATTATTTTCTGTAATACAAGTTCTAATTCTTAACAAGTAAAAAGAGCAAACAAAGAATTAAATCTTCACCTCCACGATGTTGCCGACTAAGTAAGGAAGCTGTTTGTTGAGCTTAATCTTCTCTTGGTTCTCCTTTATCTTCTCCTTCAATGAATCCAAATCTAGATTCGTCCTCTGGAGCTCTTCCTGAAATTCGCAATTACCAAACAGTTAATTTTGAGTTTCGTTAAGAAGGAACAAAAAAGTTCAACTGATTCGTATCCGAACCTTTAAGATTCGGATCTCGTTGTCAAGCAGACGCGATGCCCTGACGATGTCCTCTGTCGACATCGAACCCAGCTGATCGTCCTCGAAATTGCTGTCCTCAACCATTGCCGTTGCCATATCTCTACTCGCTGTTTACGTCAGGTTTTCACAGAGAGAGAAAGAGAGGAGAGAAACGAATAGTTATAGGGAAGACGAGAAATTCGAGTTTAGCGGTCTTGCTCTCCAAGCTAACGTAATGGGCCTGATTTTGGCGTTCTTTTCAGTACCAATTTTAGGCAATCATGATTTATCTAGAGCATCCAGCATAAGAGTTTTTTGCACTTTTGGTCACACGACTATAGTGGCACTAGCAGAATTGATCCACGACTTTTGAACCTTGCAATTTTAGTCCATAACTATTGATTTTTTTGCAAAAATGGTCCTTCCGGCCACTTTTCCGTCAAAATTCCACCGGGAAAAAAAATTCTCCATTTTTAACCGGGCTAAAATTGACATTTTACTTATCTCAACAAAAACAAATATAAGCGATTGCATTTGAGAATCTCCGCCGCTTCTCTCGCCGAAAAAAAAAAAAAAAAAAAAAAAAAAAAAAAAAAAAAAAAAAAAAAGCTTTTTCGATGTCTTCGAATGATCGGCAGGCGTGCTGGCTCCGCCTCCAATGCTGCTGCCGGATAACCCAACTAGCCCTGGGAACGCCACGGCCGCTCCGTCGCTTACTGACAGCCCTGCCTGATCCAGGAACTCCGCCGCCTGGGGCAGTAATATGTAGCCCAGTAATATTGTATGTAGTCAAATGCCAATTTTTTCTTTTATTTTTTGAGATAAGTCAAATGTCAATTTTAGCCCTGTTAAAAATGGAGAATTTTTTTTTTCGTGGAATTTTGACGGAAAAGTGGCCAGAAGGACTATTTTTGCAAAAAAATCAATAGTCGTGGACTAAAATTGCAAGGTTCAAAAGTCGTGGATCAATTCTGCTAGTGTCACTATAGTCGTGGGACCAAAAGTGCAAAAAACTCTCCAGCATAATATGGAGTTAACTATTTTTCTTAGAGTTAATTCTAACAATGGTCCTCCGACTATATTAATTTTCTAAAATTAATTCTCGATTTTTAATTTGGACACTTAACATCCCTTGACTTTCAATTTTTTTCCAATTGAGGTCCTTTCGTTAGATTACGATAAATTGGACTTTAAATAAATGGGTAAAGTAGTTATTTCATCTGTCTAATGTATAATTCTTCGTATTTCTCCCTTGTATGCGCAACTTCGGACATTAGATTCACTTAATTGTTTAATCCCTAATCCACTCGAAGAACAAAATTCCATTAAGGATTAAGCAATTAAGTGAATCTGATGCCCGAAGTCGCGTATACAAGGAAGAAATACGAAAAATTATACATTAGGCAAATGAAATGACTACTTTACTCTTTCTTTTAAAGTCCATTTTACCGTAATCTAATGAAAGGACCTCAATTGGAAAGAAATTGAAAGTCAAGGGATGTAAAGTGTCCAAATTAAAAGTCGGGGACTAATTTTGAAAAATCAATATAGTCAGAGGACCATTGCTAGAATTAACTCATTTTTTTTACATGCATTACGGGATTAGGATAATGTCCAATGTTCTTTTCTTTTTTTTAAAAATAAGTACTTTAATGTATATCAAGGTAAGATTATATTAAAATTGTTCATGCATAGATAATTGATGTTAAATTTGCGTATTTAAATAAGCAATTCTAAGTTTACAAATGCAAGATAATATAGTCCAGAGTTAATTATAATTGTCAATAAAATAAATATTAAATATATACTAATATTGAAGAGCTAACTACTGATTGTCAAGTACAAGGACATTACGAGATAGTTTCCCACTTTAATTTATTGTGTGATTTGAATACTCTTTTTGTCAATAAACTCCCCAAGTAGTTAATATGATTGGCTTAATTTTATTTTATTTTTTTTTAACAATTATTATTATTATTATTATTATATATATATATATATATATATATATATATATATATATATATATATATATATATATATATATATATATGTAGTAGATAGAAGTAGATAGTAGATGTTAGATGAAATAATTTGGATAGGGTTATTTATAGATGTGGGATGGGGTTAATGAGTGAATTATTTCTCTTGCAAAGATCAAAATAATGTCAAAAAAAAAAAAAAAAAAAAAAAAAAAAAAAAAAAAAAAAAAAGAGCAACACATGTGCGCACAGCCGATGGCCACACTGCATGCACCCGTGTGTCGCGTCAGGTGCGCTGGACACACTATTTTTTTATTATTTTTTAAAAAATTTTCAATTTTGTTCTTTTTTTTTATTTTTCTTTTTTCTCTCCCCTCCCATTTTCTCTTTCTTAATCACTCTTACAAAAATCCTTAAAAATCGTACTAGGGTTAAACTGATAATGTTGCTCTAAGGGCATCCTCAGAGCAACCCAAAATGGGGATCTTGGACCAAATTTTAAGAAAAGTAGGGTGAAGTGGAGGAAAGAGAGGGAAGAGAGATAGAGAGGGTGAGTTGGTCCTGCAAGGTTGGGGGTTTTGCAGGTAAGTGGGGGCCACCAATGGAGAATGAGAGTTGCGCCTCACGCATGTCAGGCGCAACTCTCGCACCCAGGCGGGCGCGTAATTCTTTTTTTTTTTTTAGATTTTAGTTTTTTTTTTTTTCTCTCCTCTCATTTTCTCTTTCCTAATCACACATGTAAAATCCCCTCAAAATCTTCATACTATTGAGGATGCCCGCAATAGTGGTAGGTTTTTGAGTAGTTTTTGCAAGTGTGATTAGGAAAGAGAAAATGGAAGGGGGGAAAAAACAAAAAACAAAAAAAAAGTAATGCTTAACGTGCCTGGCGAGCGCGTGACCCCAGTTCGGCGCGCTGTTTCTGCGCAAGGTGCAAAAGTTGCGCAAATCAAAATGTTGATGGGGCCCACATTTCCGATAAAAAAAATTCCATTTTACTGCAAGGACCCCACTTTTTCTCTCATATCACCCTCTCTCCTCCACCTCACTCAACATACCTCAAAAACTGGTCCTAAATTCCCTAATGGGAAGGCTCTAAGGATGGACTAAGAGCATCCATAATAGTGAAGTTTTTTTGTGATTTTTGAGAAGTTTTATAAGTGTGATTAGGAAAGAGAAGATGGAAAGAAAAAAAAAACTGATCTACACTTTATAAGAAACGCGCACAATCACAATTTTTCCTCTAATTGAAATACTGTTCCAAAAACTTGATTTTGCAGAGCAAACAAATTCTTCTCTCTCTTGCCTTCTCTCTCCATCTTGTCAAGCTTGTCAGCCATCAATATTCCAAAAGTCACTAAATATGCATTTATAAGGGTACTCTCAGAGCATCATCACCAATTGTTTTTCCTTAATTTTTTGTTATTATTTTTTCCCTAATATTTTTAATGACATGGAAGAGAGATAGTGAGATGTAAGAAAAGAGGTAGAGTAGAGGTAAGAAAAAACAAAAAAATGAATTTACAAGAATTTAAATTTGTTATGAGCCTAACTTTTTTTTTCTTAAAGTCGTGCCAGTGCATGTTTCGGGCACCAGTCGCGTGGTACTTGCGCCCAGTGAATACGTATGTTACTATTTTTTTTTTTTGACAAACTTGTTTTCCTTTTTTTTTCTTTTTATCTCTCTCTCTCTCTCTCTCTCTCTCTCTCTCTCTCTCTCTCTCCTCTCTCCCAATTGGACGGACAATTAGACTTTGGAGAGCTAAGAATGAGTGATGATGGCAATTAGACTTTGGAGAGCTAAGAATGAGTGATGATGGTCAGGTGAAGGTGATTGGTACTGGTACAGTTTGTCTTGAGACAAACAATGGTGCAAAATTGGTACTTAAAAATGTCAAGCATAGACTGAATCTTATATCTACAGGAAAGCTTGATGATGATGGTTTCTGCTGTTTCTTTAGTGATGGACATTGGAAAATCACTAAAGGTTCACTGGTTGTTGAATGAGTTAACAAGTCTTCTAACTTGTACTATTTACAAAGCTCTATTTCTGGTGGTTCAGTGATTGTGGTAGCAAAAGAATGTGCATAAGAATTGTGGCATAAATGACTTGGTCACATGAGTGTGAAGGGGATTGATTACCTTGCCAAGAAGAGTAAAATAAGCTAGATTGAATAGATGTGTTCAATGCTTGGCTGGAAAACAGAGAAGGGTTTTTTCATGAGCCATCCTCCTTCAAAGAGGCCAGGGCCACTTGAGTTGATACATTATGATGTGTGTGGACCAATGAAGGTTAGGTCACATGGAGAAGAATCTTACTTCGTGACCTTTATTGATAAATGTTCTAGGAAGCTTTGGGTCTACACTTTGAAGCACAAAGATGATGTGCTTGGTGTGTTTAAAGAGTTTCATGCTCTTGTTGAGAGACAAACATGGAAGCTTGAGGTTTGTTGCTATATCGCCGGGATAGTGATATCTTCCACAGAGTTGGGATGGGGGGATTTGTTAGATTGTTATACCATGGACCATAGTCTACCTTGCAAGGTAGAACAAATTTAAAAAAAAAATATTCAACTTAAGTTTATTTTCTCTTTTTATTTTTTTACAAATAAAATTAATATATGAAAAATATATCATTAAAAAGCTCTAATTATGATCTTTTTTTTTTAAAAAAAAAACATCTATATTGATATTTTTATTTTAATATTTTAAATTAACATACGATTATTTATAAGGGGGGCCCGACGCCATTTAACAACATTAATTCCATAAAGGTATTAAGAGGTGCAATCTCTTCAAACATTGGGGTGTTAAGAGAACAAGCTCACCATGGCTTATAACCAAGCTCGTGTACTTTATGGCTATGAGCTCACATAGCCCCAACTAGTGGCCAAGCTCAACTAACTTATGCTCGAGCTCGTGTGTGCTAAGCACACATCAAGGGATTGGTCTTGTACCGTGCTGCAAAATTGATGATTTGCTGAGTTCACACCAAAGGGCTCCCATCATGGGAAGTTGGGCTCAAAGATTGTCGAGCTCGCACTGAAGGACTTACCTTGTCCAAGGAAGTTGAGGTCATGGGTTTCTAAGCTCATGTGGAAGGACTTATTTCGCTTTAGGAGGCCGATCTCATGACTTACTAAGTTCATGATGAAGGATTTGTTTTGATCCAAAAAAGTCAAGAACATGACTTATTGAGCTTGCATCGCAAAAGTTTTCTAAGTGTTAAATTTTGTTCCCTTAAGGTGGGGAATGGGGAACTAGTGATCGGTGACCCCAACCTTTGACCCCAATCGAAAAAAAAAAAAAAAAAAAAAAAAAAAAAAAAAAAAAAAAAAAAAAAAAAAACTAAGTCTTTCCCTAGAGGTGGTATGAGGTCCAACCTCGCTCGCTAAATAAAAGAGCTTGATCTTGGCCGAGTTTGAGCCTTGGCTAAGAAAAAGCTAATATTTCCCTAGGTGCATTACAAGGTCCGACCTTGCCTAGCACCGAATGAGAAAGTATTCCTTAAGGGTGATGTGAGGTCCGCCCTCACTCTTGGGCAAGCGCGAGCCTTCGCTAAGAAAAATCTAACTTTCCCTAGGGGTATTACGAGGTTCGACCTCACATAGCGCTGAACGGGAAAATATTCTCTAGAGGTGGTATGATGTTCGACCTCGTTCACCACTTAATGTAAGAGCTTGTTCTTGGCTAAACCAAAAACTTAGCTAAGATTTCCTTAGGGGCATTGCAATGTCCGACCTCACTTAGAGCGAAATGGGAAAGTATTTCTCAGGGGTGGTATGAGGTCCGATTTCACTTACCACCGAAAAGAATAACTCTTTCTTATTCAAAATAGAGCATTGGTCAAGAACATGCCAAGCATTCCTATCTTGGTCGAGCCTGAACCTTGGCCATGACAAACTAATTTTTTTCCCTAAAGGTGGCACGACGTTCGACCTCACTCACCACTGAAAGGAAGAACTCATTTTTTGACAAACCCTAGCTTTAGTCAAGAATAAACCAAACCTCCCCGCCTTGGCAGAGCCCAAGTTGCTGAGTGTAGAGATCGAAGGTAGAGGGGTTGGCTCGGTCTCAATGCAGACACCGTTCAACCCCAAGCTTGTAGAGTCTGACCCTAAGGTCGACAAAGGGCACCTAGAGGCCAACCCATGAAGGCTAACCCAATTTGGCGTAACGAAAGGGATAACATTGATCAACCCCGAGTAATTGCTCGTCGAGAGTTCGTCGATAGCTTCAAAGGGAACCTAGAGACCGACCTAGAAGTTTGACCCGAAGGTGATAGCCGTGTTAGATCCTGACTCGTCTCCTATCGATCCCAAGGTCGCTGATCAAGTCGAAGGGAACCCAAGAACCAACCTCAACCTTGAAACCGAGGCAATAGCTCTGATGGATCCCAAGTCACCTCATATTAACCCTGTGGTTGCCGATCAAGTTGAAGGGAACTTGAAAACTAACCTCGGCCTTATACCAAGGTGATAGCCGTGTTGGATCTCGAGCCTCTTCACGTCGACCCTGAGGTCGTCGATCAAGTCGAAGGGAATCCAAAAGTCAACCCCAAACCCAAAGCAAAGAGTTGACAACATTACTCAAGTGGATGAGAACCTAATGACCAACCTTGGCCTCAAGGTTGGGGTGTTGGCATTGTGTGACCTCAAGTTACCTCCCATCGACCTCGATGTCACTGCCTTAATAAAAAGAAGCCCAAAGGCTAACCTTAGACCCAAAGTCGAGGTGATAACATCGTTAAGTCTTGGGTTATCTCCCGCTAAGCTTGGGGTCACCAAGTGAAATTGAATAGGACTGAAGGCTGAGTGTTCGCAAAGAAAGTTTAATGCGACCAAAGACCAGTGGCCCACTGACTAGTATATCGATTCTACACAACTGAGGTCAACGCGAGATAAATCAATCTAGGCACGATGCATACAAAACATTATAAAGTGAGAAAGGTACTAAGAAGCAAACATATCTTCATTAAAGATTGAAGGCAAAATGAACGTCATCTAAAAGATCGAAGAAAAAGCTAAAAGTGAGAAGCTACAAAGAAAAGTAGGGTAAAGTCTATTACAAACCATCTGCGAGCCCAATGGACCCACCCAAGTGATCAAATAATGTAGGTTCCCCATTTCAATCCTCGCCATGCTAGGTCTTTGCAACGAGGTTGATCGGTCACTACTAGTGGGGCTTTATCATTTGCATTCAACTCCCTCTTAGGGTAGACAAGGAAGCCTCATCCTCATTTATAACAATTTGCTCCAAAGGAGGAATAGTTGTTGATAGGGAATACCCTTTAACTGTATGATTATACGTCTGCTCGGGATTTGCACAGGAGACTGAGAGGGTTATTCCCCAAACAATTCCGACTACCTCGTGCCTTTCCAGATCCGAGCCTAACCAGGGATTAACCCCTATGTGATTTGTAGCCGCACTTTATGTTCGAATTACAACCCCCGAGTACGTACGATCGGGATGGATATCCTGATCTCAAACCGTCGTTTGTTAAAAGGAGTTGTCATAGCCCGACCACATCACTCTGACTGCATCCTAATAATGCGATAGTTATGAATCATGTAACACGTGGGCTCATCATGGATTCCCTCATCGTGACCGGTGCATGAAGAACATGTAGCGCACATGCCAGTCACTCGACATGTGTCCCCTTCAAGCTTCTATTTAAGGCGCATTAAATGTCTGTAAGGAGGACTTTTAGGACTTTCACTGACATTAGACTTATCTTGGGAACGTCCGATCCCATTCACATATCTGAGATACTTCGTAGCATATAGTATAACGAACTCAATACCTAGTGTATTTACCACATCAGTTGTGCTCTAGGCATCCTCGCCCAGCACTGATTAGCTATCATCCCCGCCCACGAAGCCGAGGTGAACTGACTATGCTCATTTATATTTGTGACATCGGGTTGAGCTTGTGGTTGGTTCCAAGCTCGAATAGAGAAGGTGTAGCCCACCTCCCTACATGCCTAAGGTCGACATCTTTGCATTTAATCGTTTGGTACCAAGTTCTGGGCTTAGAAAACTTGGGCTAAGAGGCTTGCGATCTCTCTTCATCCTCTTCTACCTCTTTTGGGGTGGGGATTGCTTGTGGCTCCTCGATCGTCATATACGCCTATGCGAGATTATCTTTACTTGAATAAAAGAGCTTACTCTCGACCAGGCTCATCCAATGGACTAGATGGTGGCATCAACTACCATTTTTGAAATGCCGGTAATATATAATTTTCTATATATTATATGAGGAATAATTTCCTAGATTGACGAAACTAAAACTTAACTATTTTAATTCACTGTCAAATTCTTGCAACTCAGAGAGTGGGTGCTGATCATGAATATATTAGACCCAATCCAAGCTTTTAAACCTAAGAAGTGTGGTATGAATCCAAGGAGAAGCATGTGAACCGTGGGTCGACCTTGGGGTAAGCCGTGTTGGGAAGTCGGGTCAATGGTAAGCCGTGTTGGGAAGTCGGGTCGATTAAGCATGAGCTCAGAAGATGTACTCGGGAAACCCAGGGTTAACCAATGGCTACCCAAGAAAGTTGATCATCCTAGGGATAGCTTGACAGCCATGACTTGGGCTCGACTATCAGGGTTGGCGACAACATAAGAAGCGAAAGTCATGAAAATGCTTGACTAGCAAGGTTTGACTCTGAGATCGATCGACATGTCGATTGGGCAAAGACTAAGTCTTCCTGAGCACCTTATTCGCAGGGTAGTGATTACCGGTAAGAAAGGCTAGTTTAAAAAATTGAATCTTTATCTTGTTAGAGGATGCTCTTTATCATATTCTAACATCATTTTTGTAATATGTAAGCAATTAAACAAGTAATTGTACAAATGTTCTTGTCCTTTCTTTACACTATTTCCATTACTTCATCCTTACTCTTTACTTGGAACCGGTTAAATTTAATTTGTTCCATCATTCTATTGGAGGGAAATACGAGAGAGAAAAAGGAAATTGAGATGAATTTACAAGTTTATCCTTGAAAAATTAAGTTTTGAGATAGTAATTAATAAACTCTAACAATTCCATTTTGATGGGAGAAAGAAAATCACTAAGCTAATAATTGAAATGCCAACATAGCCCTATAATTGAGAGAGCAAAAGTGTGTTTTTCCCTTTCAAAGATCTCACATGCTCTAAGGGGTGTTCAATTCATGATACCCTAAGTAATATAGTTACCTTCTAACATGAGTCAAGCACCTTGTGCTCATATGGCACATCTGTGACTCTCCTTAAGAGAAGGTCACAAGATCGAACCCAGGTAGTGGGGAATTGACTCTTTGGATTGCCGCAGTTAGAGAAAGTATAGAACAGATACTACCTTGTAATAGAGTCAATAGTATTAAAAAAAAAAAAAAGTTATGAAAGTATAACATTATTATTTTGTGTTTACAGATTGTGGAAATGTAATATATTATCTTTAAATTCAATTCAAAAATTAAAATATTTGAAAGTCAATGCCACTCAATCTTCTATATTTCTCACTTTCAAAAAAGTTGAAAATATTTTATTATCTCAAAAGGAATTCTAATATTATAATGTTTCAAAACAAGTAATAAACAAAAAAAAAATGTAAAAAAAAAAAAAAAAAAAAAAAAAAAAAAAAAAAGAAGAAGAAGAAGAAAAGAATATACTATACACAAACTGGGTTCCAATTCGTGTACAGTATGTGTATACATACACACGAAACTGCATCATACAACAGAATAGATCTATTCCATGGAATGACATTCCATTCCATTCCAATTCGTGTACAGTATATGTGTGTATGTACACACACAAAACTGCATCATACAACGGAATAGATCTATTCCACCAAATGACATTCCATTCTCAATGTATTCCACGAACCAAACTTCACCTTATTCTCTAATGGGTTTGGTCCTGACTTCCTATTTGTAATGAGAGAAAGGAGATGTACCAAATTCTAAGCCTTATCCACTCAATTTGATCAATGTGGCCATTCTATGATTTCTATCATAATGCACCATAGCTTTTTGCCTAATTGAAGTGGTTATCATGCTACATTGTAACTAAAGCTAATGAAAATTTTCACACAACCTAGTACCCACTAATCTATGGTCGGCAATATTGTTTATAGGATGTCATAATTTAATATTTCACATGAAGATATCTCTGCAGCAATTTTCACAAGTCATAAACTCATAAAAGGCTACATATATTCCTACAAATTACTATTGAACAATGAAAAAACAAACACCTAAAAATACTAAGTATATGTTAAGTCAATGGTTATCCACCATTTCTTCTACAAACCCCTTAACTCACCAGGCAGCAGGTTTCAAGTTTCTCCGCTCTAATTTTAGGGCAGCCACTGTGCCTAAAACTGCAAATCTGTTCTCACTTTTTTGATACTTCGCCTCTGAATTTATTAGCCACGCCCACGACCCCCACCTGCTGTCACCAAAATCAAATCAAGGGCAATGAATACAATTCTGAAATAAATCGACTCACAGACACATCTCCTAATAACACATTTTATAAGAAATGAAATTTTGATTTTTTTTTTTCCGGCAAAATTAACCTAGGAAAGATTGACATGGATTTATACCTTTGCCGCTAGCCTTGCCACTAGAAAATCCTCTTCCACGGCCCTTGGCACCTCCATCATCCACCCCACGCCCAATTCCTTTTGCCGGTCTTCCAGCAGGACCGTCATCTCTACCTCTTCCCCTTCCACGTCCTACTCCGGGTGGTTTCCTATCTGTGAAACCATATAAGAATAGATTATAAATGAAAAGAGCAACAAGATGGATGTTCAAGCCTCAAGCACATTTAGAGACTGAAAAGTTCATTGTAAAAAATTAAGACGGGCTATTGTATTCCAAGTACATTAATCTGGCATTATGTTTATTATTTTGCTAGCAAATATTTAACAAAATAAAAATTTGATTATAATTTCCCGTTGAAAGCTTATCCATTCATACATCCACTCTCTATACTTAATGCCCAAGCCAAAACACATGTTTATGTATGAAAACATATTCAACAAAAAAAAAAAAAAAATCCTACTTCTTTGGAAAAATAATTTGTCACTTGGTCCATATATTCTGTTAAATACGGTAGTATTTGGATGTGAATGGAAATTAAATAACACTGGTTAAAGAGAACACAACTTTAGTAGTTTAGTAGCAGATTCAGATAAACATATTGCAATAATTCAACAGTTGGGAATTAAATTTGTGTATATACCTGTTCGGCTTTTTGCTTCTTCCTGAACTTTATCAATCACCTTAAGAAAAAAAAAAAAAAAAAAAAAATTAGAAAATAGCACTATCCATCAGTAAGTATTGTAGAAATAAAATTCAAAAAGTATTTGCAGATTGCTGACTTCCAAAAATACTTGAGATTCCCAATAAAGGCAAAGACGCGAAGTGATAAGAATCTAGAGGGAATTTTATTTTTTTTTAAAAAGAAAATATTTGTTCATAGGAACTTGAAATGACAACTAAGTTTAACACCATGCTTATCCTTTTAAGTTGCAAGGAATCAAAATTGAATGGATTGCATAATGAAAGATCTGGTCAGCAATCAACCAACAATATGTCTTTATGTGTTATCTTCAAAGAGATATACTTCTGCAGTTCTATCTAAGGTATCATTTAAAACAGAAATACCTCAAGGAGCTCATCAACATCTAATTTGCCTAAATAGTATCACTCTAGACTGTGCAAAGAAATGAGGATGCAAGTAGCACTAAAATTCATTCTACATATTCATGGGCACACGACAAATTAGTATCATGCACACAATTTAATACACAATGACACACTAGCATACATGTAAATATCAAGTTTTGAACCTAAGCTCTATTAATTAACAAACTTATGCACACGACTACATTCAGCCATGCACACGACATACAGACTAATGGCACACGACTACATCTGTCCTCACAGTCCTCTATAATATAGTTGTCCTCATTTGAATACACTTCTATATATATATATATATATATATATATATATATATATATATATATATAAGAAAGAAGGAGAGCCTAAATTGAACTTATGGAGCAATAGTACAATGATATAGTTAAAGTTCATAAACTGCACCCACATATCAGAAGCAGAGAGTCCAGACTTTCTCAATCTCCTACTCAAGCAACTGGCTTTGGTCTTACTTCTAAACTGAACTCATTGGAGAGCCTAAACATTCACTTGGGACACCTCAAATGGAAAAAAGCTGAATATAAGATCCCCACTATCAATAATCATTCTAAATCAGCTTTCCACTATGCTTAATACTATAGGCTTGATGAATCAACACAAACCAAAGCATATATGCATGAAGAGATCAGTTATGTAAATAAATATAGTATTCCTCAAATTAATGGCTCCGACCACCTATGATCTGATAGTGACTGTTAGGATGAGCACTTTGTTGCATACACATGGTAAGAAGTGTAGGATTAAACAATTTTTAGAACAAGATAGGATCATAATGGTGTAAAGTAAATTGAGTAGGGACACAAACCTCATCTGGGACACGAAGATACTTAATTGTATTTCCGCGAATGTAACATTCTGGCATTCTCCAAAATCTATCTCCATCCTGCACAATACAACAATAATTCATAATATACCTTATAGAGCCTTAGACCATATAATTCAAAAGATAATCTTTGACATCCAAAGGGATCAATGCAGAACACATGGTGTAGTACCTTTGATGTGCAGATGACTTCACGGAGATGGATATTCATCCATGTATCACAGTTCACCAAATGCCCATTATAAGTTTCCCCATTTTTTAGTTCCACCAGCTTCAACAATAAACAAATGTTTCAAACAAGGCACTTCTTTTACAAGAAGCTGCAATTTCTCGCTAAACCAAACAGTCAGTACTAAATTATGACTACCACAAAATTTCGGAAAGTGGGGCTCCTGAGGAAGCAATACCACAATGAGCATAGTAGAAAGGAAAACTTGAATTATTCTCATTCCAAATTTCATTCTTATTCGGCTACTTAAGTAGCCAAACTGAAATTATAGAAACATGTAGGGCATTTGAGTCATTCTAACAAATTTGGTGTTTACAAGAAAACATCTTGATTAATTTCATCTTGTTATCTGAGAATTTAGTCAATCAGAACTAGACAAAAAACATGTACTCAGAAGGAACACAAACTGAAAAACAAAGTACATTCATGAAACAAATACATCAAAGAAAGAGTGCGACTTACCATGGGATGACCCTGGGCAGTTTTGAGGAGAGAAAGCGGAAGCTGAGAAAAACATAAAACTTGTAATAAGTAACACGACCTTTTTGAAAATATAAATTTCCAATAAATAATGAAACAAATTGTCAAAAACCTAACCCTACAGACAGTAAGAAAAATTAAATATACCATCTTGAGGAGCTCGACAATCCAAATCTTTCGGCACCAAATCGCCTGCAAAATTAAAATTATAAAGAAAAAGTTACAAATTAAACCATCAAGGCATTTTTTTTCTGAACGAATTTAAGATTAAAAACATAATCTTTAAGAATCTTTAAGAAAATATAATACCTTTGGAGTTGAAATCACTTTTCCTTGATCTTCTTTCTCGACTTTGCCGGAGCTTGGAGCGTAGTAGGGTTAGAGAGTTAGCGTTACTTCAAACTTTCGACTTCATAGTTTCTTTGGAAAGGTTTCCAAAAAAAAAAAAAAAAAAAAGAGTTTTCTTTTGAAAGTGAAAGCGTCAGAAGGGGTGGACTTGGAACGTGAATATTTTCCGTTAACTCAGAGGTCCTTTGTCTTTAATATCAATTTCAAATTTAGTCTTATATTATCATTTTTATCATTTAACATTCTAAATTATTATTTTTTTTTTGAACATTTTTAGTCCTTCTTATTATTTTTATTATTTTTAGTAAGCGTCATTTTTGTCTCTTGTATTTTTCTTTTGTTATTTTTTCAATTTCAACCGGTTTAATTAGTTTAAAACTTTACTAAAAACTAGTTGAAAAATATAGTTACTAAAAATCAGAGATTACCTAAATTTTTAAACCAATTAAACCGTTTGAAATCATAAAAATAACAAAAGAAAAATATATGTAAAAAAATGTCCTTACTAAAATATAAAAAATCATGAAAATAACAAAAAGTATCAAAAAATAATAATCTAAGATGTTAAATGACAAAACGATAGTCTAGGACAAAATTTAAAATTGTCACAAAAAATAAGGGACCTCTGGTGGAATTAACTCTTTTCCCTTATGCCCTTGAAATTTATAACAAAATCTCATAGGTTGAATTTTATGTATTACATTTTCTTCATAAATATTACAAATTCCTTCATAAATATTTTTTCAATGCTTAATATTATATTTTAATTTAAGGCTCCATTTAAAATTTAAAAACTTAAAAATATTTTTTACAAAATAATTTTTTTTAAATGACTATTTTCTGGAATATAATTTAATTTTTAAACTTTTAGCTGAAAGTTAGAAAATCATCATTTCTGTTTTACTAAAAGCTAAAAATTTATATATTTTTTTGTTTGGTGTAATTTCCTAAAAATGAACATATTATTTGTTATAAAATAATAATAATAATAATAATAATAATAATAATAATAATAATAATAATCTATATCTACAATTTTAATAAGAACCAATACTGTTAGGCTCTTAATTGCAATAAAAAAAATGTTTGTGGTAATTATTTCTTAAAATAAATGGTTCATATTATTTTAATTTTGGTATTTTTTAATGATTTTTCTTATTTACCATTTATTATATTACTAGTTTTTTACGCGCATTGCACGATTGGGATAATACCCAATGTTTTTTTTAAATAAATATTTTAAAGTATATCAAGGCAAGATTATATTGGAATTGTTCATGCATACATAATTGAATATTGAATTTGCATATTTAAATAGGTAATTCAAAATTTACAAATGCAAGATAATATAGTCAATATTGATTATAATTGTCAATAAAATAATTTTATAGGTATAGTTGAAACCAAATATGGGACATAAGGAAGAGAAAATAAAAATTATGGCATAAAATATTAAATATATACTAATATTGAAGAGCTAACCGCTGATTGCCAAACAAGAACATTGCGAGGTAGTTTCCCACTTCAATTTGTTGTGTGATTTTTTGTCAATAAATCCCCCAAGTAGTTAATATGATTGGCTTAATTATATATATATATATATATATATATATATATATATATATATATATATATATATATATATATTTTAAAAACAATTATTATTATTAGTATTATTATTATTATTATTATTATTATTATTATTATTATTATTATTAAATATATGTATACCCTTAAGTCATTTTACATGTTAATCTAAACAGCTACTTTTTTTCAATATTTTTTTACCAACTGTTGATATAATTCGCTGGTCAAATCCGCTAACGCTAACCGCTAACTGCTGATTGTCAAACAAGGACTTTGCGAGATAGTTCTCACTCCAATTTATTGTGTGATTTGAATACTCTTTTTGTCAACAAATCCCTAAGTAGTTAATATGATTGGCTTTATTAATTATAATTTTTAAATTTTTTCATGGTATTAATAAAATATTTGATAAATAAATATATAACATTAGTTTGTATTATAACTTTGATATTTAATTAAAAAAATAGTGCACAAAAAAAGATAATAGACAATGTAGTGAATATAATTAATTGATGAATTTGAATGTAAAAAATTTTTACATTGGAGAAAAATAAAGACAATATAACTAATAAAATTATTTTTCTTAATTAATTTATTGATAATGAATAATTTTTTTTAATAAAGACATTGTAGGGACAATGTAGCGAATATAATCATTGATTAATTTGAATGTAAAGAATTTTTATATTGGAGAAAAATAAAGACAATATAACTAATGAAATTATTTCTCTTATTCAATTTATTGATAATGAATAATTTTTTTTGAACAAAGACATTGTAGACACATAATTCTAAATTAAAGAAATGCATATGTATTATTTTTTGTTGTAGTTACTAAATTATTATTTAATTTAATAAGAGTAAAATAGAGTACTAATTATGCCAATTTTGATTGGGATGTGGTTCGAACTTAAGATCTTTCTTATTGAAATCAATAAGTAAGTTAACGGTGAACTAAGAGAAATTAACGGAAAAGATAATATTTAACAGAAAAGTTAATGGATAATCATATTCATTAAGGATAAATTAGAAAATCTTAAGAAAAAATTAAAATCTAATTAATCTGAGTCATTCATTTGATTAAAAAATTTGATCGCCATTTTTTCTATCCATTATATGCTTAACTCTCTTGGGCTCTTATTAGTATAGTAGATTTTCTTCCCTTAAATTTTGTTAGTATAAACATTATTAATGGAATACTCCGTTAACTATTTATTATTCTTTAACTTACTTATTAATTTCTATGGAAAATTTCAATTTTGGTCATATGACTATATGGGCTTTGTTAATTTCAGCACCTAACTTTCAAAAGTGTCAATTTAGTACCTTGACTATGCAATTTTTATCAATTTTGGTCACTCCGGTCAAATTGTCAACCAAATTTTGCCAAAAAATTTTAACAGTTAAAATAATAAGGATATTTTAGTCATTTCACATCTCTTTCATTATTCTCTGACGAATTCATCTTTTCCGGCGAATCCGAGGATGAGGTGAGCTGCAATGGTTTCAACATTATCCAAAAAGATAAGTATTAATTCAACATTATCCAAAAAGATAAGTATTTATTCAACATTATCCAAAAAGATAAGTATTTATTCAACATCAATTTTAGCATAATGTTGATATAGAGAAGTTTTAGAATAAATAGGTACCAGCATCAGTTTTAGTATTTCGCTTTCTTCTCCAAGCAAGCCTTTTTTTTGGCTGGAAAAGCTTTCAACCAGAATTTTGGCAAGAACTGTGCTGGACGAGCACAAAGAGAAGTGCAGTTCGAAGATTTCTAGATCCGCCGATATCTCAAGCTCCCCTTACACAAACAGTCAAATATTTTCAACCGGAATTTTGGCCATCTGAACACTAATAAATCGCCGGCGACGGCTTGGACGAATGAGTTTAAGTATGTTTTGGAAGGTGTGCTGTTGCGACAGATTCGGAGGAAAAAATGAATTCGCCAGAGAAGAAGGCAGAGATGTGAAATGACTAAAATACCCTCATTATTTTAACTGTTAAAATTTTTTGGTGAAATTTGGCCGGCAATTTGACCGGAGTGACCAAAATTGATAAAAATTGCATAGTCAAGGTACTAAATTGACACTTTTGAAAGTTTGGTGCTGAAATTAACAAAGCTCCTATAGTCATATGACCAGAATTAAAATTTTCTCTTAATTTCTATAAGAAAGGTCTTAGGTTCGAACATCATCTCAATTAGAGTTGGCATAATTGTTAAATATATACTACGAATATGTTAATTAAAATGTATTAAAAATATAATATAAAATTTAACATAAACTTTGGTCAAATAATTAGCCTGACTAAATACATAGCATTCAATAATTATAAACCAGGAACTTTGAAAATCATTTGATTTTCTTTCATTTACAAATAAATAAATAAATTTAAATTAATTTTTTTTTTGTTTAATTAATCTTCTTTTGATTATTGAGAACAAAATTTAATATTTCAATTATGCTTTTTTCAATGCATGAAAACTTCTAAAGAAATTTGTAAATTAATTTTTACTATATTATTATAACAATATCTATTGTAACCTTATATTTTGAATTATTTATTATCATCCTCTATTGACAGCAATTCTCAAAACAATTTGTCTCAACAACGAATGGGAATTTTTTTAAAAAAATCAATGATTTCATTATTGTGGATGAAAAGTATGTACGCCACTTTATTGCTCTTATTAAATTAAAAAATAAATTAGTAGATTCAACAAAAAATAATACATACGCATTTAATTAATTTAGAATTAGATGTCTATGATGCCTCTATTTAAAAAGAATTATTTATTATAAAAAATATTAAAAAGAGATATAATTTCATTAGTTATATTATCTTTATTTTCTACGATTTAAAGATTCCTTACCTTCAAATTTATTATATTCATTACATTTTCTATTGTCTTCTTTTTACATTATCTTGTAATTAAATATCAAAGTTATAATACAAAATATGTTATATATATTTATTTACCAAGTATTTTATACAAATATAATAAATATTAATATTTTGTTGAATACTTTCACATGATAACCTACGACACATATCTTGCAACACATGAAACATGTACCCACTGCAAAATATCAACATGTGTTTGTGAGATAAAGATTTCATAGCACAACTAAGATCATAGTCATATACACAACAAGACAAATCTAAAACTTCCTACACCATAATCTCATTGCATGATGAATCCATCTATGCTACCACTAGTAACCTAATTGCACATGACATACTACCAATAACAAAAAAATGACATGTACTGAAGATGAAGATAATGACAATGCTACCCAAAAGAGAATTAGAAAAATTTAAACCAAAAATTGTATTTATTTAGACTATCGCTTTTAGACTAAGTACTTAGATTAGCGTTATTACAAAGTTGCAAACATTTATTTATGTGACAGTTATATATAATCAATATCTCATATATTATCTTGCATTTATATACTTTAAATTACCGATTCAAATAA